TCTCCTCCCTGCATCAGTACCCTTGCTGTCTACACGCTAGATACCCTGGCGTCTTCAGTTTCTCTGTGTGCTTCCTACCACAGGTCCTTCCCAACTACTATTAAAATTTTATTTTAGTTTTTAGGATCCAGAACATTTGACATTCTTCCAAAGTCTCAGTTACCACACCAAGGGACACTTTGAAGGGAGATTTTAGGTGTCCTTCTAACAGGCCAGTCAGGTTCCTTTATCTTGCAAGATCATAATATTTATCTAAATTAATATGAACACTAACCGATACAGTGCACTGAGGATTAGTTAAAGTTCGAGCATCAACCACAGTCTAATGATTTCACAAACATGATATTTAAATCTCATCTAACTAAATTTACGGTAAAATCTGAGCTACAGGTGCTTGCTGTCCTGTAGGAGGAACGCAATAGCCTAAATTGAGTGGACTTTCAATTGTGTGATCATTTAATTCTGAAAACTTGGATCTCCAACAGGACTTAGGATTTGGAGTGAGCTGAAGCCAGATCTGGTACTGATCCGTCCTGTTAGAAGCCAGCTCAGCGTGTAAAATGCGCCCACTATGGATATGCTGATTGGGATAATGAGTGTTTGAATGAGTAACGAAGCAGGACACATTTTCATAGGGAAACTAACTGGGTATTCCTTTTGTTCTGCAAGCCAAATGTGTCACCTATGAGAGTGTTTACAAAATTCTAGACAGACGCTTGCAAATGAGAGAAACGGCCTTTGCGGTCCTGGAGATGATGGTGCGGAGCATCGTCCACTCTCCTTTGTGACGACCATCTGTTCCACTTCTAAAGGAGATGACAATTCAGTTTAACTCACAGTTAAAGATGAGAGCGGTCCCGCCCTCTTCTAGGCTACCGGGGCTTTCCGAAGGAAAGACTAGAGGAATTCACAGGGACACACAGGTGTGTGCATCTTGCACAAGGTAAGTCTAAACCGGCAGTTGTTCAAGAAGCCTCAACTTTTTGAGTCTAAACATGAGAGGACTGCTTCTTGCGTGTGTAACAGCCTACTGCAGTTTCAATGCTTGCCCAGGTAGCCTTTTTCCTGGTGATTCAAGAGTCCACCTTCCTCTTGCTGGAGCTCTCCAGTACTAAGTCCCAATTCTCCTGCAGTGTGCAATGAAAGGCCCTGGGAAGGTATGTTCGTTGCCTCAAAACTCTGCCCGCAAATGATTTCCACTTGTTTCTCTCTGCTAGAAAATCCAGCTCTAAAGACTTCTAAAGAGGGCTAGAAAATGCTATTTGTCAGCCCATAAAGAGAGAGAGAGAGAGAGAGAGAGAGAGAGAGAGACAGAGAGAGAGAGAGAGAGAGAGAGAGAAAGACAGAGAGAGAGAGAGAGAGAGAGAGAGAGAGAGAGAGGGAATAGTCGAGCAAATTTCTGGTTGTTTTTGCTCCACTTTACCCAATAAAGCAAGGGGAAAGAATGTCTGAAATCAGTAAACAGAACATTGGGAAGTGGACTGGGAGACTTTAGGGCAACAGCAACATCTTAAAGATTAAGGAAAAATGAGAGAGTTCCTGGTAGGAAAAGGTAACATGCAATAGCCTCAGTCAAAATGAACTGAGGCTGATGCCAAGAGAGACAAGGACAGAGAAGGTAAGGGCAGGAAAGAGTGAGGGCAGGAAGGAGTGGGGATTGAATGGGGTGAGGGCAGGAAGAAGTTTGGATGGGAGGGGGTGAGGGCAGGAAGGAGTGAAGGCAGGAAGGAGTGAGGGCAGGAAGGAGTAGGGGTTGAATGGGGTGAGGGTGGGAAGGAGTTCAGATGGGAGGAGTGGGAATGAGGAGAGATGAAGGCAGGGAGGGCAAAAGGAGGGAAAATGGAAGTCAGCCTTCGTATGAGTCAGAGTCAAACAGACATTATTTTAATAATATTTTTGTCTTGCTTTCCCTGTCTTCCTTCTGTAAGTAATTAAATAACAAACAGATCCAACCCTTCACCACAAGTATCTTAGCCCCTAATGTGAAGATATGAAATAATTAGAGGATTTGCTGTGTAAGGAGTTTAATGGCTGAGACAACCTCTGTTTTCAAGACTGAGCTAATTATAGAGGATGAGGCTGAACAAAGGGAAAGCATGCAATTAGCAGAACAGTGCTTCCTGCAAGGCGGCCAGGTCCAGGGGCTTTGCTGAACTGTGCCTGTTAGACCAACAGTCATCTGGGATTCACCTTTTAGAAGAATCCTTTGAAGACGTTTGAAACTCCAGATTTGGCCATCTTATACTCGACTGTGGTGATGGAATAGAGGACTTTAAAATCTAGTCTGATGGTAGAGGGCAGATAGTGGGCCCACATGGAGAAGCCTGGTGTTCTGGTGCTCTCCCACTCCGTGGCTTGGTAGTGTGTTCAGTGAGCTCTTTCTCTCATTCTCTAGAAGTGCATACAAAAGCCCCCAACACTGAGCTGGGGGTGGGGGCTGGGGAGGGAGGCTGTATTCAAAACTGATTTTAATCTTTGATCGATTTCCTTCTCTTCCTTCCCTTTTCTTTATCAAGATTTCATCCCCCCTTTCCTTTAACAAGGTTTCATTCATTTTGAATAAAAACCTTTAATATGTTCAGAATGCTCCAAGAAAGACGGAGATACCAGATGAATAAATTTCCTCTAAACCCTCGGAAGCCTCATAAAGGGCATGGCCACATCAATGACTCCAGCTGAGCAATGTCAGGGGTAAGGCAGTACCTGGTGTGTCAAATCCCAGGGGAGCATCCCAGGAGGGCCTGACTCAATGCTTTCCTTCCAAAGAGAAGGAGTCTCTCTCTCTCTCTCTCTCTCTCTCTCTCTCTCTCTCTCCCCCTCCCCCTCCCTTCCTCTCTCTCTCTCTCTCTCTCTCTCTCTCTCTCTCTCTCTCTCTCTCTCTCTGTGTGTGTGTGTGTGTGTGTGTGGAGGGGGCAGTATTCTGTCTGCAAACAAGACCTTAAATGCAAAAGACAATCCCATCTATGTAAACACTAAAGATTCTGGGGAGAGTCCCTTTCCTGGGTTTTGTTGACAGAAAATTAGCAATCGATGTGAAAAGTTAAGAGTTCAAAAGTTGCCCAATATCAGACATTATTCATCGGAAAACATTGTGAGTTGCCCCTCCGAGTCTCAGCGTGGGTTGAAAAGAAGGCCCTTGGCTCCCAAACAGGCATTAGGATTGCATTATCATATCAATAGCCCACATGCAAAGTTCTTGATAAAACTCTCACAATCTAGAGGCGTGAGATAAAATATGAGAGTTTGATTTGGGTAAACAAATCAAAGGCATTTTCAGTAGAGCTATTTAATCTGTTTAAGGCACTGCCAGGAATATAAACATCAGAGGAGTCAAGCATTGAGGGAACTTGGGGTAGGAAAATCTCTGAAGATTGCTCCTTTTTCCTAATTTACTGTAATCTAGCCGTATTGGCCTTTTTTCAGTTCTGGGAGGCAGCCAGGACTAAGGCTTCTTTGCAGATACCTCCTGGAATATGTGGGGCCGGCTAAGTTTTATACAGCATTAACAAAAGCTCCCTCACCTTGCTGGTTTGATACAGTTGATCATGCTGTTCACTGGGAGTTGCTGGGGCCCTTTGAGACATAGAGGCTGCAACTGATGGTGTAACCCCATCTTGAGTCAGGTCACCAGACAGACTGCCACAGAAAATGGGATCCATGATGCCTGTGGAAAGCTAGGTAGATGTATGGGAACCGTCCTTTGGGTTCTCATACCTCTGCTGGCTTCCCTCTCTACAGCAGAGGGCAGCCATTAACAGCCCGAGCACTTGTGTTTCTTTCTGGGGAATGTCCGTTGACAGCTGCCCTTTGGGGCACGTACTGACTCAATTCTACCATGCCTCATCTCACCTCTGGCCTTGAGATTGACAGGGCAGAGACAGACAGAGACTAGGAATGCTGTCAAGGAGCAAAGGGTCAAAAGCCGCCCACTAACGCATCATGGAAGGCAGAAAGGGTACTGAAAACCAATATACCTGGTGCCAATTGCTGGACACAAAGACAAAGAGGTGCACCGGCATGTCGGTGAGTTTGATTTTGGGAAATCAGCTTGCTGGGAAAGTAGCTCAGAGCTGTCTCCCACCTTGCACTGGCCGCTGTCCTCAGAGTCCAGCTAGCACGTAGAAGGCACTTGAGAGAGCTGATCATCTCATGGATAGAGAAACTGTAGTTTAGACATGACAAATGGTTGGTCACAGGTCATAGGAAGGTGATGGGTAAGAGGGAAGCAGACTCCAGTGTCCTCTTGTGGGGATTGTGCTCTTTTCCCAAACCACATGGCAGAGAGTTTGTACACTATTTTATTATCTTATGCTAGTTGGGGTAAATCACATAGAAGCGTGTTTTCCTTCATGTCCATTTCAGTAAAATTATTTTAATAATCATTTGTATTTTATATATTTTTAATAATCCTGCCATCATTTTAATATATAAATCTCTTATGTTTAACTGAAATAAGAAGTGAGTGAAGCACAATTGCCTTGTGAGGCAAGGTTATTTCAACGAAGATTCAAGAACCAATTAGCAATGGCTGGGAGGAATGGATTTTAAATAGGAATTGTCTCAGGTCACCTGAAGGAAATCAGTGGTCACCAGGAGTTCATTTTTAAGGAGCCCATTTACTGAAACCGATCCAAAGTGTCAAAGACATCTGCAAATATGGCTTTTAAGGCTACATTTATTAAACTATAATTTTTCTCGTCTTTCACAGTTAAGGTTATTTTACATACGTGTTAGGATTTCATTAAATAAATAAAACTTCACATAGCCAACAGTAAAGCCAGAGGCTTGATGAGGGTAAGAATTAACCATTCCACTAAGGCTCAGGTACAATAGCCTCACTTTCTAAGTGATGAGCAAATGCATTTGGAGTCGGTAATAAAAGAAAGATCAACACTTCTTATCACCTGTTAGCTATTAGAGAATGACTTCTGATCTTATAGCATTGTGCTTCCTCTCCTCTGTGACCAGCCCCACCGCTGAGCAGCAAGCTCTTCTCCTACCTGCTGGACCAAGCCGGCTGCCTCTTCTCTCTTCTCACCCCAGCTGCAGAGAGCATCTACCGTGGTCTCCATGGGTCTGTGGAGATTGGAGAGGCCTACTCCAGAAGCTGCTTGTCACCAACATGTAGACTTCTAAGGAGACACCAGAAAGAGGGACAATGTTATATATATATATATATATATATATATATATATATATATATATATATATATGTTAATTGGATGTGAGAGAACGAAGATAGCATTCCCTAATTTAAAAAAGATTTCTACTTTGCAGAATGGGGATATGGGCCCATTGTGAATAAAAGTCTAAAAGGTTTTAAACGAATAAGAGAGTTTGAGCCAGTTCTAGGGCAGCAGGTAAGGTCAGGTGAGTAGGACAGAGAAGACTCTGTGTGTGAGGTGACAAGGAATGGTAGGGACAGTGGCTAGCTAGTGATCATGTGACCCGCTGGAGAGCCAGCTGTGACTCAGGCCGAACTGATGGTTGTTATGGAAGCAATAAGGAAAAAAAAAAGCCCGATGATGTCACGACTTCAGATTTTCAAGGAAACTGTAAATTTGTGTTTTATGTGGCAGGTCTTGAGTTGTAAAAGTTAGGATTTAATTAATTAATTAAATAATTCAGGTAATAGTGAAGCCAAAGTCTAAATGAGGATCAGAGTTACCTATGCTCTAGTGATGACCAAATATATCCAGAGAGGAGAAGCTGAACAAGGCAGAGCTAAGGTGTCAGGTAGGAGGGCCACCCCTCTCAGGCAGGCTCTTCCCTTTCAATGGTGACTGCTCTAGGGTTGGCTGAAACTAATCAGATCTGTTTAGACAATTATTTGAGGGAAAACACAAGGCTGCCTCTCATTGATCTGATTCTGGGTTTCCAAACTACCCGTGTACAAAGCTTCCTGACTGAGGACCGGTGGTATTCCAGTCTCACCATCCACAGTGGGAAGGCTGTTGAGAAAGTTAGCGACTACAGCGCATACTGTCCCGCATCTGCAGCATGGCTCCCGTCGCAGGCATCTGTCTGGATGGATTTGAGCCAGAGAAGCCAGTTGTGGGGAGGAGATGGCGGTGTATGAACAAAAGCGTTGTCTAGTGGGTCTCCTGAAGTCACATGCTGCTTCAAGTTGGCCAAACACTAGCTGCTTCTCTTTACACGATTGTCATTTTGTTTGATGGATGTGTTTAGGTTGGGTTTAAATTTAACTCAACCTCTCTAGGTCTTACAAGCAAAACAAAGGAAATAACAGTCTGTATCAGTGAGGTGAACTGAGGATAGAACAGTGTTTGCACAAGGTAGGCATACATACTCACTATGTTGGTAATAACAAATGCTAAGTAGTATTTGGAGCAATTGCTAACATTTATTGAATGTGGATTATATTTGAATGTCATTATTGTCACAATTGTTATCTATCACTATCACCAAACTCCTCTTAGGTTTTTATACTATTTGTCCTTTAAGAACTAAGTGCATGGTATTTAGAGGGGACAGTGTTTGTACAGGGGTCTATTCAACCTGCCAATGCTTAGCCCACCTCTCTAGAACTGTCAGTGTCCAACTGAAAGTATCCTTATGCAGTCAAAAGTAGCAAATTGAATTTGGTCAAACATCAAATAATAGGTTAAGTGGTCAGGCAAAGATGTATCACAGGAAGCATTTTAAGTTACTACAATACTTAGTGATGTCTTATGAAAAATTGTATTAGTCTGTAATGCGATTGTACCACGTAACTAAGAACAAATGAAAGTGTTAGCTCATCTTTAAGTTATGTGTTTTAAATTTAAATGGAAAATTCCATAGTCTTTAATACACTATTTGCATGAAGTATAATTTTTGTATACATATCTTTAAATAACTGAAATGAGTACTGAATGTTGAATTCAGGACAATAACATCTAGAAGATTGTTCTCTAGAATATTGAATGTTTTCCCTTTTATGAAAAAAAAAAAATCCATGCAAGAGAAAGAGCTAAATGTAACATAATTGAATGCCAACACTGAACATTTTATATAAAAACCATTGACTGCTGAAAAGGAAGGAACCAAAGGTTGAAGGAAGTGGTGTTAAAGGAAATCATACATGATTCTCTGTAGCAGCTTTTCTAACAGTTGTTTCTAACACAGTGTTTACTAAGGAAAAACCACCACCACAAGCACAAAAAGAATGTGGAAAAACTGCAAGCTTTTAATCTGACTTTCCCAAGGGCAGATATTATAGTTTAAATTTTCAACACATAATTGTGTTTTGGATATATTCTAAAGTAGTCACATGGGAGTTTTTTTTAACATATTAAAAGAATTAAAGTTCACTAAACAAGGCAAAGGAAGTGTGTGTGTGTGTGTGTGTGTGTGTGTGTGTGGTTTGTGTGGTGGAATAATTAATTTTGGCTTTAACTTAAACTTAATATTATCCTAACAGGTAATGGCATCTAATTCATAGAACTAATTTAGAACACAGAGACAAGCTTTATAGGACAAGATGAAAAAGCACAAACCATTTTTTTAGTTTGACTTCTCCCATGCAATTTTAGTAATTAACCCAGAGGCACTGTAACTTTCTAGAATGCAAAATGCAACTCCATTCAGATGTTAGTTCTAGAATACAAAACAGTATTTCAAAGTCAAGTAGATATTAATTTGTCCATTGTCTATTCTTTTGGGTAATTGCCATTATTGCTATTTCTCTTTGGGTGAACCACTGAAAATTGACTACATAAATTGTTGTGTTTTTTATAGGGAAATGACTTAAACTCAACATTTGTCACCCAGATTTTAATTTAATTTGCACTTCCACCAGATTCAAGAGTGCTGGTTCTTCTAGTGTATCATACTATTATATTCGTCAGCATTGTCCCTTCTTTTCAGCTCCCTCCGGCAAGAAGGAATTTTGCCGATGCCAATTATGGGTGAGAAATTCAGTTATTCTGCAAGAATATTTACAAGTGTGAGCTAAGTGAGAACCTTAGTGACATATCAGGGCAAATAAGATAGCAATAACGTGGGCATCAGGGTTAGCCTTCCCAGTCTTCCTCCTCCCTCCGTGATAACAAAGGACTTTGCATGCGGATCACTGATCTCAGCTCTGGCTACATTGGATCAAGGTTTGTGGGAAAAGAAGGGCATAGAGACCGAAAGAATAAAACAGAACGCATTGCTCAGTTGTTTATTCACTAGTTTATCAAGGTCATTTCTGTGACTCAGTGGGAAAGGCGGTGGAGAAAACAGCGGTCTCATTAGTTAGTGGATTTAGGTAAGGGAATAGAGGACTTCCCAGCTCCACACTTCATCAATAATGAACTTCACTTTCTCTTTGTCGTAGTGGGTATCTGAGAAATAGACTCTGAGACTCCAAGACTTCCATGCAGGAAATCCATTAGGGCCTGTTTGTAGAAACAACCCCTGTAGTGAAGGTGAGGCTAGAGTCGCCACTACAGCAGATCTGGGCTGGGCCTGCAGAGACTAGTGTGTGCTACAGCCTGCTTGAATGGGCTCCATAGGGCAGAGTGATGCCCATCTCTTCAGCATCAGGTGTAGTTCCTTTGGTGCTGGTGGGGATGGGGCATTTGTAACACAGTCATAGGTAAATACTAGAAATCAGGCTCTAACCCTCAATCCCTGGAAAGCTGGTTGACCAGTAAATTCTGAACTAGAGAGAATGTTTGGATCTTCAGCACTTCCTGCCCAGATCCCTCTGATTGGTTTTTAATTTAATATGGGTTACAGAGAGGAAATTGTATATTATATTAAGAGGTCTTGTGTCACTTTAGTTATGTCCAAGTTACTAGTCTAATATTAGTATTTTAGTTCTACTGTGCTACAAGAGATATGTCTGTCTGGCTTTCTGAATGAGGCGAACTCCCACGGAAGATAAACCACCTACATGGGCGCCACCTGTTGGAATGATCTCTAAAGTCTCTGTGATGTTGTCAAAGTTTAAGTACTAGTGATGACTAAGCCATGTCTGAAAAAAAATATTATAAGAAAACCTGAGGTGATTTAGTTAGGTGATATTACTATTCTCTGCTAATAAACCTGTTTACTTATCCCAACGAAGTAGAAGGACACTAATTATAGCATTCTTCGTTTAATGACATCATGGACAGTTTTGGAGCCAGGTTATATCATATCTCATAAGGTGGGATAAAATGTTAGCGTTACTGCCTGAGCCACACAATATTTTGGGTTAAATGATTCCAGGTACTTTTGAGGTTAATTTCTAGGAAGGCAAACTGAACCAATTCCAGAGCTTGCCATTTTGACTAGTCTTGATAGCCAGATTACTCTGGGGCCTCCCATTTCTGTGTTCTGTGGACTGAGATTAAAGGCAGGTGACCACCCCACACAGATTTTACTTGTGTTCTCAACTCTGGTCTGCATACTTGCACAGCAAGCATTTTACCTATGAAGCCATCTTTACAGCCCTTGTATCTCTTTAAGACAGGAGTAGTTCAGGTGACAGGGGACTGTGATGGAGACATCAAAGCATGCATATAACCCCTAATTGTGTGTATGTGTGAGTGTATTTTAGTGTGCAATTTAATACCTTGCAAGTTGAGTAATACAGTGAGGATATTGATGATAAAGGGCAAAACTTCACTGACTGTAAACTATGAATACAGTTGAAACTTATGTTTATCTAAGAGGGACTCTTGAGTAACGTAGCACAGACTCCTAGGAATGATCTGGTCTTTTCTTTAGATTTTAAATGGAGCCATTCTTTCAGCAATTCAACAACTGTTTTCCCATTTCATCTTATGTGTAATTTACATGCTATTTCCTGGAGATTAAAAGGAAGAAAAAGATTCAACCTGATTTTAATGTCTAATATTCAAGTATATACTATGTTATAAGTCTTAAATTTTTGATAAGGATTCATGATACTTTAGGGAATACAGGAGTTTTAATGTCTTAAACATATAAGCCTAGATAAATGAATTTAATAAATTTGTAAACTTGAGTATAACCTTGTCCCAGGCTAACAATGAAGAATGGGATAAATCCTTACATATGCTTGGTTGTCAGACTTTGAAACTACGGGACCTTCCTATGTTGATGGTAGAAGCTAGTTATTAAAATTATGAGCATTTTAGAGGTTTTGCAAGATTTTCTTATTGCACACATACAAATA